ATACCACGTTTGTCGTTCCAAGAGCAAGGCATCACCATTGCCAGCGTTCTGACAGCATTGGGCTTCATCATATCGACCCTGGTCGTATCGCTGACGGGTGGTGGAGGAACACCCACACACATCCAAAACCACCGAGTGGTGGTGACGTCAGAGACTGAATAAAAAAAACATCTGAAATCACTAGGGGAAGCCCTGGCTAAACTCGCCGGTAAAGCCGCCGAAGCCCTGCCAGGTATCCTGGGTAGCATCGTCTCGTGGTTGCTTAGCACTCTCTCGAAAACAGTCACGTGGCTAGGTCAAAACCTGTGGGCGTTCATCGTCGCCGTTGCCGGGTTGGTGTACGTGGCCGCTAAGGAATTTTTAACCAGATGCAACCCAAGCCAACCGCGATCCCAACAACCACCAGCACTGTTTTACGGTCGATGTGCTGCTGATTAGACACCTGCACGTGTGGTGGTTGGGGTTGTGGTGGTGTGGACTGAACCCTAGACTCTGGGGGTGATTCCACTATACCCGTTTCACCAGTATGCGTGGGTGGTGGTACATGGGAGACGTTGACGTCGGCGTTAACACCCAATTTTTGGTCGGCTGTGGCGATGATTATTTCATTGTTGTAGCCTGTTATTTATTGATTCTCAGACGCATATCACTCGGAGCCATGTACAATCCAACACCGAACACGTAGTCAACTTTTGACCTGGCATATTGCAACGTATCCTGATATCGTTTTATAGCACTAGGTAAATCTACTGGTGATGCGATAGCGTCCTCAATATTAGCCACGAACTGTTTTTGAGAATCGTAAGCCGTTCCCTTACCTATAATATTAGAACGCGTCTGTGATTGAGACCCTAGAATAGCCCACACGTACGTTCGAATCGAATGGTTCAATCTGATAACACCAGCACGAGTAAAACCCTTCGACGTGTCCAGCATAAATATTTTCCAGTCATCCGGACCCTGCTTGAACCTCCATACTCGGTAATCCTTGCTGTCGTCGAAAGACATGAGATCATCTCACCACTCGTTACTCGTGACGTAAGCATTCGCATGTTTTACCACCCCATTCTTTTAGCTTTTTGCTGGCTTCCACGAGGGGCATGTTGTGAACGATAGGGATACCAAACCCATTGTTCGGGCCCAGCAAACGCCAATCCGTCTTTGGGTCTAGTTCGAATTCATTACAAATCCGTTCATACGCACGTCAATCGTACGGATTGTTTACTGCATCCCATGCCTTGTCCTGTGGGACCGGGGCGCTGATTTCTTTGAGGATACGCCTTACCTGGTAATACACGTGAAAAGTGAAAACAGATTTACTTAGCTCATTACGCCTAGTGTCTGTCAATGTCAAACCACATCCAGTTGTCGCACACCACACGGCAAAATTGAATTGAATCTGCCAGAACTGCATAGGGTTGTGAAACCAATCGTGAACCGTTTTAACATTAGTGACCGAAAACCTATAAATTTTAAACACGTCTATAAACTGGGTTTTGAAGTACGAACCAGCCGTGTCAACCACTATTTTTTATGTGTGTGAAGTCATAAGCCTTTATGTTGTCGTTTTGGGGGTAACGTACTTCGGGTTTATACATATTATTATATAATATATAAATATATATAAATATGTACATTACACTTCCGGGTGTAACGAGCGGTGAGGCCGTTCAACTTATGCACGCTATTTATAACACGTCTGGTCAACTCGAAATAGCACTATGCGATATAACTTACTACCCGCGATGGACAAACATCAACAGCAATAATAATAAGGTGTTCTTTTGTGGATTCCTACGTAAAATAACAGATGAATACTACAGCGTGTGTTCTCTCAATGATGAAGTTTTCAAACCCTTAGGAGCTGAACTCAAAATAAATGACTCAAACGGAACAGTGGTGTTTATTAACAACAGTACAAACAAATTGAGACTCGGTCGACCGTTGGCGAAGATACTGGGGCTGCCACCAGAAGAAATAAACCCTAAGATTACCGTCACTGGTACGAAGTTACCAGAGCTAGTTCCATACGGCAAGCTGTGCGTTCATCTCGATCAGCTTAGCACAACAGATAATGTACAAAGTGAACGTCCTTCCACGTTGTTGAGGGCTGTCCCGGTTAAAACAGAAAAATACAATGATGGACGCACCGAGTCGTTTTCATCACGACAGTATAAAAAAATGATAAATGTTAATATTTCTTAATTAAAAATATCAATTTTAGATACAAAAAATAATAATATAAATATAGGATACCTCAGCGTAACACTACATATACAATAATGGCTAGCAATCAAGGCCCAGGAATGCGAGTAAAAAGATGCAGTAATGTAGGATTATCAGACCTAGGTGATACTAGGGGGTTTGATGACTCAGGAATAGATTGTAAAATTTACGCTTTTAAGCTTTTAAACAGCATTTACAAACGAGTTGAAGTTCCCGTCGTCGGTGGATCTGGTAAAACTTTTAACCTAGACACATCAAGATCTGTCATCAACACTCGAAACGATATAGTTCGCAACGACGAGGATGAATGGAGAATATACCCATCGTTCGGTGGTAAATTGTTCGATTTAGAAAACTTTGACAGAACGAACGTAGATCAAAACAAACCGTACTATCTAATGCTCACTAACGATAACAAGTGGATGATGTAACCATCTCGAATCAAGTGGTTTCTCAACATCACACTAAGTTCCCCATACGTATTCACGGAAAACAAAGACCACTTACTAAACAAAGTCGTTAACAACGGAACCCTAATCGTGGCTCTCCCATCAGAGAGACGCAGTGTAATCATCATCCCACTCTCGACTATGTCATCCCACATGCTATCGGTTAAACCAGGGGAGAAAAACGCGGTATTGAAGTTGGTGTCTGAATTCGACGGCATGCTCAACATCTTGCAAAATCCACGCTGGCCATTCAAGTCTACCTAGGCAAAACAAAGCTGAGTATACTTGAGACCGTGAAGGGAATCAAAATCATGTGGGAAAAAAGACACGAGTATCACGTTTGCACTATTTACGTGCGGGTGGGAGGCGATTCACACACCAGTCTTGAGGGTGTTATCGTTAACGTGGAAGACACTATATCTCTAAACAGTATTTTTCTATTCGAGAACATACATTTTATGGAATTGAAGTGCACGCCTGATAAATTATCAGAAAAACAATTGGAAACTATTTTATAACAGTTATATAAACAATGGTAAGTCATCACCCCAATGTAATACTCGGTGATCTAGGAGACACAAAGCGGTTCAATTTACCTGGTGAGGAAGACACCCCGTACCAACTATACTATAAAGACGACGTATACGAACGAATGCCACTAGCAGATTTTACAGAGCTTAAATGGTTATTTATTAAAATAACACTAACCTCACCTTACATCTTTTTTAATCAAATGATTTCGTTTTCAAAATTACAAACAACGGGATTCTTCTCACGTCCTTTAATCCCTTCAAAGAAAATACTGTTCAAGTATTACAAATACCAGGGCACACTGGTAACATGTTAGCTCCAGTCGGCTTGAATGCCAGTTTATTCATTCGCAGCATTTACGATTACCAACGTGATTTTTTTTCAGATTCACATTATGGTTTGAAATCACACACCACGCTAGTTATAGACGTATATCTCGCAGAGATGTCCAGTCCAAGAATACTTTTAGACGGCCTGAGAATAATTTGGTTTAAAAGACACGAGAATAAACGTTGCCGAACCATAATAAGACAAGGTTATAAACCATTGATATGCCTAGATGGGGTTCGTATTTTAGACCAAAACATACCTATTAATGTCTCACCCATTTACCTGTACCATAATCTAAATCTTATAAGCCTCAAATATATTAATCAAAAATTAAATGACATAGAATTAAAAAATAATTTATAAAATATATTATAAACACATAAAATGGGGCTATACCCAGCCATAGATGAAGAAGGAAATATAAAGGGAAGTGTAGAAGGGTTTCGACTTAAACAGATATGTGAAATACAACGTCAGCTAGAACAAGACCGTGATATTCGGGCATCGCTACACGAAAAATACAATAGAGCTTTAAACTACATGGATGGGGCTGATACCACCCTTATGACAACTAGCATGGGATTAGGATCAGTAGGAGTTGGATTGTTGACCACCATCGTAGCCGCACCAGTGGTGTTAGGCCTTGAAATAACAGCTGTAGTGACAGGAATAGCTGGGTCAGTGTTTAAACTTGTATCTCGCAAATTGAATCGTAAAGCTAAGAAACACGATGAAATTAGAATTCTTGCTGAAGCAAAGTTAAACACTATAGAAGACCATATTTCCACCGCACTCAATGATAATAAAAGCTCAGAGGAAGAGTTTCGTTTGATCCTATGTGAACTCGAAAAATATAAAAAAATGAAAGAAGAGATTCGATCAAAGTTTCATCAAAAAAGTTCTGCTATCGGCGAGAACGAGAAAAAAAATTACATAAACCAAGAGATACAACAAGCCCAACAAGCATTTATTACGAAAACCAAAGACATCATAGAAGATACACGTTAAATTGTTTTGCTGAGGTCAATATTTGAAATTGATGTGATCTTATGGGTTTACAAATTGAGGAATAGATACTTATTGATTGCTTGCCTTATATATGGTGACCCCATACACCATAGTCTTACTCTTTAGAGCAAGACTATGGTTACTTTTTATCTCCCTGAAAAGTAGCCATAGTCTTACTCTTTCGAGTAAGACTATGGATACTTTTTACATGGAGATAAAAAGTAGTTGAGTTATGGGTTTATAAATAAATATTAGTTAGGAATGTATACTTATTGATTCCTTGCCTTATATAGGCTTGTCCCGTACCCCCATTGTTTATACTACTTATGCACATGCAATTACAACACGTGTTGCACGTGCATAAAATGCCGTCACGAAACGTAGCACGTACTTTTGCGCGCAGTTTAATTAATTAATTATCCTGTTTACATCGGTATGTGTGCACACGTCTACAGTCCGTTTGAGACAAAATGATACCGATGAATTGCAATCTAACACAATAACAAATCGACATAATAGAATCAAAACAACGCGAACTACAATAAAAACAACAGACCAAATGTGTAATTTGTGTCCAAAAAAAATACAAAAAGTTGTTTAAGAAACTGTCATCATTTATTTGTGCGTTTTCCCAGTTTGTTACAAGGGCGCATTGGCAACTAAAGGAACAGCGCGAAAAGCGAGATGCACGTGCGTTAACGGGTTCTCAACAAACTTTTGAGCTGGCGAGCTGACACGTACCCCCAGCTGCACAGGCAGTGCGCTGTATGTACTTAGTAATTGCATACTTGGGTCACCCCCTGTCCTTTTCATCCTTGACAAAATCATAGACTTTGTAAATTATAGACTTTCATTTTCTCTCACTTTGTCAATCAGCAGTAATCACATGTCTCTGACGTCACTAATGCACGTGCACCTCGCTTTTCGCCCTGTTCCTTCAGTTGCCACTGCACCCTTGTAACCAACTTGGAAAACGCACAAATAAATGACAGTTCCTTATGTTAAGTGGTTGGTCTAGTCCTCAATAGTTTTTGCGTAGGTCAGATGGCAATATTTTCAACTTTCAAATAACATGTTTCATTTATCCTGTGGGGCTGAATAGAACCCTGTGTTTACCCCCTTACATTTGCAACCTCCACAACATGAACAAACATGTATTTTTAGCAAATGTAAATATTCTGGCCAAATTTCTTTTCGCCCATGGGTGAGCTTTTTTAAATAACGCTCTAATTTAGCCGAATTAAGTCGAAAATATTTACATTTTGGGTCACGATACTTATAAACATACTTTCATTCATATACAACTTCAAAAACATTTTTTTTAAACTGTATTTTGGGCAAATGTAAATATTCTCGCCCTTGGGTCAAATGTTTTCGCTCATGGGCGAGGTATTTTGATATGGCCTTAAATTAGTCGAATTATGTCAAAATGGGTTGAATTTTTTGTCATGATACTTATAAACATACCTTTCTTCATTTACAACCTTCAAAACATGACTTCTGAGGGAAACAAAACATGGGCGAGCGAGTATAAATTGTTAGTTTCCGAAAAACTATTTTTACATTTTTGTCATCCTTAGCATATATTCAGATAGTGGCCACACTGCGGAGGGTTTCTGGACTTTTGGGTTTCCAGAATTAAATTGTGACGTGTTATACGGACAATATGTTAACCTGTCGAAATAGTATACACCGTTAATTATGAAATTCATGAAACATTGCTTGTATAAACAAAGCGTCAAACAGAAGGCTAATCAACGTGAACATCCAGTCTTTTAGAAAACCTATGGCAAGCCGTTTCCTCGCACATTAAGAACTGACTTAAAGTTGCAATTGTTTTTAACATATCGATATTATATTTAAAGATATCAGTGATGTTTTTAAATAATTGAAGATATCTTAATTTATAAAACTTTTGATAACTTAAACAAAATTACTGATGTCTTAAACCGTTACGGAGATGTCAAGAAACATTTTGGTGATATCTTTAAATATGTTTCCTCTGGTTCCAACATGGCTGCAGAGGGTAACGGTGGAGCTGGGCTCCGTCTCTACATCTTACAAGTTGTCGCAGTGTCACATACTGTCGGGAACCAGACCGGAAGTGAGAACCATTTCAAAGGAGAGTCATAACCTCTTGTCAACAAACAAACCAACTTACCAGGGGGCGTTGCGTACATCACCAAGATGTCCTTGTGTATGTTTGATGGGGAGACAGACAAAACGGGACATAAGGGTATGCTGTCAGTGTTGTCAACGTCGCTGTTGTAATGCGTGTCTTCTTCCCTGTCGACGTTGCCTTCCTCGGCATCTTTACGGTTGGTCTGCTGGGCTTTATCACCTTGCTTCCATCCCCGATCCGGTTTAATTCTTGCCTTTTTCACTTGGACACTAACTCCAGGGTCCAAGTTGGTTCCACGACATGCCTGATGGTTTGACGTATAACACCATTACATATTTATGTATATTCTTACTTTTGTGTTTAAAGGCAAAATGTCACCTATTTTTGACAATATTTTGACCACTGGGACTTGTAACGCTAAAAACTGCCATCAAGGTATGTACTGTCACTAACGGGGTCTTGGCTAAGTTAGTGACAGTACATACCTTGGTGACAGTTTTTAGCGTTACATGTCCCTGTGGATGAAATAAAAGACTTATTATCCCATACGACTTGCCTGAAATCGATAATTGAAACTTCGAGGCGAACAGCTTCCAAACAGATAACACTTGCCATATATCGAATGTAAACAATTTGCTCAGTACATCGAAAACTGTCGCAGAGCGGTATTATCGGTGTTTGCCGAACTGGTTTCAATCACACGCGGTGCATAGGATATTCGTAAAGAGCGCTCCAAGGGACATAACTCTATGGGATTCGCCTGAAATAATGTTCGGCCTGTAGAGGGCGCGAACGTCAATTTAATGCAACGTTGCATTAATTCATTCGAAGTTTTTTATTTATATTGTAATCTAAATACGTAATTGGTTTTGGAATAAATTATATGGAAGCTTCCCTGAGTGCTGATAGTTAGTATTATTGAGAGAAATGCATTATGTACTTTAGAGAAGTGTGGTGTGACATTGTGCCTTTAACGCCAAACTGAGCAATATTAATAATAATGTGTCCATTTATATAGCGCCAAACGCCATACCAAGTATGCTCATAGCGCTAACAATGAATAGCACAGCACATCCAGCTATATGGCGCCGGTCTGTAAATAATCGAATCTGGGCTAGACAATCCAGTGATCAGAACATCGATCTACACAACTAGGATAGTGATACGTGTCAACCAAGTCAGCGAGCCTGACCACCCGATGCCGTTAGTCGCTTCTTACGACAAGGGTTACTTGTGTATATTTTTTTACAAGTCAGGAATAACTTGAACTCCGTTAAGTCAGAAACAAACAACTCATTACAATTTACAACTTAGGTCACCGTCTGATTGATTTAGATTATCGCTTAGCAAAATTTGGGATCATGAATATTTTGGTGGATTTTATGAAATGTGTATAGTGTGTCTTCTTGAGCAAAAATATGCCCAGAAACTACTACTTATTTCGAACTTAATATCTAATTGTGATATTCTCGGTACAACGGTCATCTGGAGACGGCGTGGAGTCATCCCTAAGATGGCATCCTTTCCTTGTCAACTTGCTGACAGGGTTAACGGCAATGCGGACATGCTGTCCGACCTCAGATGAAAAGGTACCTGCTTCGTATCCCACCACGGGCCACTAATCTGGTGTCCTTTGTGGGGCTAAGCACGTACATACAAATTTAAGCCAAATGAATTTCAGAAAAAACTTTGGGTTTTTTAATGAAGAGGAAGTATGTAGCAGGGCGTGGAGCCATCCCGAGATGGCTTAACCTCTTTGGTCATGTGGACAAGACGTCCGACCGCGAATCAGAAGGCAGAAATGCACCACTGAAATTCGGACATTTTAGGCTGCTTCAGTCACACGGATGACATCACATATTGTTAAAATTCCACTCAAGACGGGAAAATCATGGTGGAACGGTATAGCTGAATAAAGCCTTCCGAATGCTCCAATAAGAACAACGGTGTTTGTAGTTAGGCCAACTGTACCATCTCAAGCCTCAACCAGCAAGAGTGAGTGAGTTTTACGCCGCTTTTAGCAATATTCCAGCAATATCACGGCGGGGGACACCAGAAATGGGCTTCACACATTGTACCCATGTGGGGAATCGAACCCAGATATTCTGCGTGACGAACGAACGCTTTAACCACTAGGTTACCCCACCACCCCAACAACCAGCAAGAGCAAACATTTAATTCATTAGTTATGTAACCTATCTTGTGAAACTATAAAGTTTAGATTACTTGGTAATATTTTTTTAATCCATTTATAATGGTGAAGATTGCCTTTTTATAAACGTTGAAGAAAAGTTTAAAAGAGTGCTCAAGCGTAAGAGTAATTTGTTATAACATCGGTGCATAAATTTCCAAAGTGGCTTGGAAAAATGAGACAAGAAGGCTTTTTATTATTTCACGTATGAATGAACATTCAGTGCTGTGGAAGGTGGGAAATGCAGAAAATATTAATAGAATTATGGTGCAGGTAAGGCAAGACAGAACAGACAACGATGTACATCGATGACCGTTTGGACATTGGCAAACCTGGAAGAAGAACAGCCTTGGTTTTCCCACTAGCCCCGGACAACGTGTATCGCTGAAGATGTTGATGATGCTGGCTACCAGCACTGCCCCACCGTCTGACCCCAGCAGGTAGTCCTGCCTCTCCCTCAGCATCGCTCGTGAGGTGCAGTCCGGGATCAGGGTGGCGTCACCGTGGGACAGAATAGCACAAGCAAAACAGTCTGACTTGGAGTGAATTTCCATGCCAGCAACTGCAGAATAAAATGTTCGTACTCTCAGTCTTCCTTACGGTTAGTAGGGGAATATATATTACAAGTTATACCTGATATTGAACCTTGAAATGTTGATGGATTCCTGAAAAGAAATCGGCCTCCAGACGGTTCTGTTTTGAACCATATATAGTAGAGATTTTTAAGCAAGTTCATTTCCATACATCATATATGTAAAGTATATTAATGCGATTTTTGTTTATTAATTTGTATCTATATTTACAGTAAGTAAACACAAGCGGGTAATAAATTGTTTAGATGTACTTTCACTCAGTGAAGTAGCTCTAGAAACTACGTATAAATACGTATGAGTGAGCCGCCATACGTACCGTCGAACTACGTCAATTCATAAAACAGAAAAGTGAGTTGATAAATTATCTTGATCAGTAATATAACTCGTAGACTACTGATGGCAATCAACTGATTCTTACTTGTAGTCAGTGTCTCAACCATTGCTGATTGTGTGAGATTGTCGTGTCTGTGGACGATGAACCCCAGCCCACTGAACATTACGTCGAGGGCCGCAGCATCGTGTGACGACCCCACCCGGTCATCGGATTCCTCCTGCTCCGCTGAGAAGAACTTCTCATTGTTGATGATAACAGCCACGCCTCTCTCGGGGTAGGAGAAGTCATATTCATCCTCCATATTCAGGGGCGTAGCTACCATTATAAAAAAAGCCCGGGCTTACACATGATTGTTGGGCAATCTCTCAATACTATCTAAATATAAAGCTTTGCAACCTATCGGGCTTACACGAAAACAATTGCTTGCTACGCGCCTGATATTGGACAATTCTACTAAAAAGAACACGCCATATGTATTAACATAGAGAGGAAGAGAGTGATGGGGAGAAGGAGACAGATTTCATATTGATGTATGATTCCTTAATATTAACATCTTCATTTAATTATATATGTTGGTATTTAGTTAGTTGGTTAGTTAATCAGTCAGTCATTTCACCAGGTCAAAAGGAGAAAAATGTATTATAGACATTACATCAGCTGAACACCCACTGACCGTTCAGGCAAAGATAACATATCGCTTCAAAAACACGCCACTGGCACTGACTATAATGAAAACTGATATCTACCAACAATGTAATAACACCTACTCCATGTATTCCTTTATGTAGTCTTCAAACAATTTCACGGCAGGTTCTGTGCAACATGATATTCATTGACGTCAACAATATTTGTTAATAATAGGGTTTAGTTCAGTATCCGGTTACCTGCGGATGCAGAACGATAAAATATGATAGATCTATCCATAAACAAAAGAGTCTCTCTCGGTCACTTCAGTAAAGGTTCGCGTTCTAATTGGTCTTAGCAACCCATGGCTGTCGTAAGAGGCAATTAACGGGATCAGGTGGGTCGCTGACTTGATTAAAGCATGTCATCGTATCCCAGTTGCGTTGATCGATGTATGGGGTATTTACTAGTTGTGTCAGGTGGCCGAACATCTAACATATCAACAGACAGTTACCTTGTCGCTCATAGACACCTCTTCCTGGAAGATTGTATGGACTATTCACTAGTTGTGTCAGGTGGCCGAACATTTAGTTGCCTTGTCGTTCATAGATACCTCTTCTTGGAAGACATGGGCTATTCACCAGTAATGTCAGCTGACTGTACACTCACGTCAGCATACAGTCATGTTCAGGTATGTGTGAACTCTGATGTTTGCATATACCCTTGCAAAACTAGTATTGATTTCATACACGCGGTGTGTAAATGTTTACATTACATTTGTCACTAGGACACAAACATGTCCATATCAGCTCCTCTGCAGCTTACAGTGGTTCACTCGCTAGGCTACAGAAACGAAGGTTGCGTGTTTGATTAACGGAAAGATAAAGAGAACATTTGTCATTTTATTAAATGCATCGACTTTAAATGTACAATATATCTCTAGCGGGAGAGATTTAATAATAATAATAATAAATGGATATTTCTTATGCGCCATAGTCCATCCAGAGCATGCTCAAAGCGCTACATATAAAAAGAGTCACTAGAGTTCAAGAGAAGATATGACAATTCGTCAAAATGACCATGAGAATATTTCGCAGTTATAGGTTGCAGACTTTTTTTAAGAGGAAGGTTTTGAGTCCCGATTTGAATGATTCTAAGGATGAAGCATTTTTTATGGGAGTAGAAGGACTGTTCCATAGGGTTGGTGCTGCAAATTTGAATGACCTATGGCCAAAAAGTTTGAGACAAACTTGGGGAACTGAGAGAAGATGTTGATTCTGTGAGCGGAGAGAAACGGGCAGGCATATATGTGGCATATACGGGCAGAGAGGTATAGAGGAGCTAGGCCGTGTTTGCAGCGGAAAACAAGAGTGCAGATCTTGAAATGAATTCTGTCTTCAACCGGCAGCCAATGCAGATTGGGGTTATGGTACCATATCACCAGAAGTCGTATAACAACGAACACAAGCATGATTAATGTGGGGGAAATTATGCTTCCAAATCGGGGGGGGGGGGGTTGTTGGTTTGTTGAGTGGAGCATGTGGTCATGCAAGTGGGGGTGGACACTGGTCATGTGAGGAAAGCACTATGAACATTAACTGTTTAGAACTTACTAATATTTAGGAATGGTGTATCGAGAGAGATCTTGTGATCTCAGCAGCTCATTTACCAGGTGTTTGTAATAATGAGGCTGACTGGCATTTGAGGAACATGTCTAATCATAAAGAATGGAAACTAGATAGCAGGGTGTTTCAAGAATTGACAGGTATATTTGGTGTTCCATGGATTGATGTATTTGCCTCGCGTCTTAACTACCAAATAGAATCATGTTAAGTACCATTGAATTATGACTCTGGGCCCTTATTCTCGAATGGTTCGTAGCCCTAAGAATTCTTAACCTGTTTCGTAGCCAATGTGTTAAGAATGGGCTTAAGAAGTTCGTAGCATTACGAACGTTTCGAGAATAGCTAACCTGGTACCGAAGCAATTGACACCCTCTCTTTGTATTGGGGCTCATCATATAGCTATGCATTCTGTCCTTTTAGCGTGATTGGAGCAGCTCTGAAGAAGATGCAACAAGAGGCTGATGTGCCGATGATAACGCCTCCGTTGACAACCCAACCATGGTTCACCAATTGTTGATCGACTGTCCAAGATTGCTCCCCAAGTCATCAAACCTGCTGTGACTAGTGAACCGTCCAGAGATCACACTTCCACTCCACAGAAAACTTCAACTTGTAGTCTTGCAAGGTGAAAGCATTTCACAACCAGTTGAGGACGTTATCCTGCAGTCATGGCGAAATTCAACGCATCAACGTTTTGGGAGTTTTCTCCAAAAATTGACGTGTTTTTGCAATGGACAAAATGTTAATCCCTTTTCATCTTCTCTGACGATTTGCTGACATCTTTATACAAGAAAGGGTTAAGCTACTCTGCAATTAGTACTGCAAGATCTGCCTTGTCAACAAATTCAGGGTGTGCATTTGGTACAACGTGTAATTGTAACGAGATTTATGAAAGGCGTGTTCAACATGAGACCAGCCTTACCCCGGTATAAGGTCGCGTGTGACGTCAGACTAGTAATTAACTTTCTTTAGGATTATGAATCCCTCAGATGCCATTCAAGGAAGTTGTCTGCACTTATCCTTGTGTCGTCAGGACAAAGACTCCAGTCACTTCACCTGGTTCACTGTAGAAATGTAGACTTACCTGAGACTTGTGTAAAAATACGGTTTGGTGACCTACTCAGGCAGACCCATTCCTGATATCACCAAGAGTATTGACTCTAGCCAGCTGGAGATGACAAAACTTTATGGATGATCAACTTCTTTATTTTCACAATAGCGACGTTTCTGTATAACTTCTTTTACCGTTTTCAAGCATCATGCATCAAGTTTTGTCATCTCTATACCACCAACTTCTAGATAGCCACTCAAACAAATCTCGACAGCTACCTGAGAAAGAGTGAGTGAGTGAGTGAGTGTTGTATACAGGCTGGAATAGACGAAAATGACGTCATCATCGAACACCTGGCTGACTTCATTTCACAGGGGTGTCAATGACCGTGGGATCCGGCGTCACATCACAGCATCACACCATGACATCACGCCATTATTTTGGACCAATCAGCAACTATTAAATTCACTCCGCTGTGACTCACGCTGATTGAGGGGTCAATGACCGCGCGCCCCGTGGGAAACACATCATAACATCACACCATGACATCACGCCATCAGTATGGACGAATCAGCATTCAGCAAACTCACTCGGGTGTGACTCACGCTGACTGAGGGGTCAATGACCGCGCGCCCCGTGGGAAACACATCATAGCATTACACCATGACATCACACCATCAGTATGGACGAATCAGCATTCAGCAAACTCACTCCGGTGTGACTCACGCTGACTGAGGGGTCAATGACCGCGCACCCCGTGGGGAACACATCATAGCATCACACCATGACATCACGCCATTAATTTGCACCAATCAGCGCATAGCACCTACGGAACTCACTTGACCACTGACCACAAACTAGTTTCATCCGGTTTCAGTTTTAACTATAAAAAACCTTAATTCAACATCATTCATCACTTGCCGACTGCACTTTGAGGTGACTTCACGACCAACGAAACCATTTGAGCTCTTGAGTGTCTTCAACACGTTCAACAAACGAAAAGGTATGATTATATACTTTATATCTACACTAGATGTTAAACACAGTAAACCTTGGTTGAAGCGTGGAGATAAACCATATGTCATGTTGTCGCTCACAGTAGGATCCCTTGAGTATGCCTCGGTGTAATCATATATTACACGTATTGTGGATGCATCATATGTACAATAAAGTTTTCATGTGTCATCCAATCTAAACTTTTTTGGTGGAAAAATAGTGCTAACATACCTTTCATAGTCCATGAATAAAACACGTAATGATATCCGATGGTATTGAAAAAATCCCATATGTTTGTGATTGTTTGAAATCAACCATCAGTTCGTATAAGAGTTCAATGTCACAAAACATAGCTATTGCCCACACGTCCCTGACACTACTCACACAAAAATGGAATTTCAGTCTGTTTAGGGTAGGCTTGCACAAGTCTCTAAGCTAATAATGAATCCTTTAAACGATAATTTCTATTACAAATTGGAAATAATATTCCCCTGATGTACTGGGGTAGACTGTCTGCGCTTATCTTGACTAGTTTATTTAAAGGATAAAATTAGTATACATCAACGGGTTTAACCTTTAGCTCCGCCTTGGAGCAAAGCTAGTGGCGGTCTGCTCCCAGCCGTTAAAACATTGTTGACCCACATTGGCGGGGGAAAAGCGTTTGTCGACTGTTAGCCTGGCAACATTTCTCGCGCGTGATCGAGTGTGTTTTCGCGAGTGTCAACAACCCTGATAGGATGGAATTGTCAATTACTCCCTATTCTCAAATCAAAATAGTATGATTTTGCATTGAATGAATGCATCATGATAACACAGTACTTGATGAATTTTAAAACATACCAACAAAACGTTATATGCTCGTGAGAATCAACAGTAGCTAGGGCGTGTCAGTTTTGAAATGTGCGTTCTCGTCATGGGAATTGTACGTGCACTTCCCAACCTATTTCGGCATGCCACTTTCATGATAAGAAAGCAAGGTTACACGAATGTTCGAGAAATAAGTCATGTTTTGAGTATCTGCTTTGGGATGTAGCTGAAAAAAAATGCATTTTGATTAAGAATAATTGCCATTTTGTGATTCTAAACCCTGTAAATGTAGCTGGTAATAATGGTAATAATGTAGATTATATAAATACACATCCAGCCAAGGCCTACATCGACCTTGGTAAGTGCTCAGGCGTCTATAGTTATGTGCTGGTAATAATGACGTTAGAATATGTTTTATAACAGTTTATTTGGTTGCAACTGAGAACGATGTAAATGTCTCATGGCCACCACCGTCTCTTTTGTGAGACTTTTCATACTGTATTATCAAGTTGTTGTTTTTTCCACAGAATGGAACAAGAAATCTGAAACCAGTGCCTCCCCCATATCAAAACTGTAGATGAGTTGCTCCAGTTTGCGAATTACTATAACGTAAAACACCTACCCATCGTTCAACAGCATTTGTTCACTTTGCAATTTGAAGAATTGTGTCAAAATTTAAATTTGTCCCAGTATGCCTGATACAGATGTCACAGATATAGTGACTGACCCTCCTAGTAGAAAACGTTCAAATTCCCCCATTCCTGGCCCGTCTAGTAAACAACCTCGACTGGACAGTCTTTTCACACAAGATTTACACATCAATTATGAGGACTATTTAGATTTTGACTTTGCTGATACCATGTTTGATCAAGTCGCACTAGGTGAAGATCACAGTCGTCCCTTTGAGTTTAGTCTAAGGAAACAACGCACATTTGCTAAACATGCAGCGGTTGAAAAAGTGTATAAAGTGAGATTTAATGATCAATGGAGAGGTCAAAATTTAGCTGACCTTCACGGTCGGCTGCATGCCATGTTTGATGATGTGCTAAGTCAAGCTAGAGGGCAGTTACAAGATTCTGATTTAGGACGTGTCGTATTACACCATGACAAGTTAGAAAATCCAATTGTGGTCCCACTGAGACCATTGGAAAATTTGAATGCAGATGTCATCCTGAGACGTGTGGAAAATGTCATGAAAAGTCACCATCATTTCGCCTTGGACGATTCCTTTGATATCGATGTAAGTATGATTGATTTATGGCGCACTTTGAATTTGCACATGTGCATCATTGGTGCATCACGATTGTATGTCTATTTCGGAACACAGCAACACACAATTTCCGCCCTCCATGACCTCCAAAGGAGGAATAAATCATAACATCACAAATGTTCAAGAAAGTGTTAAACTAAAACATAGTATTGTAGAAATCAACAATGCAGATCACCTATGTATGGCAAGAGCTCTCTCTGTGTGTTTTGCTAAAGCTCATCAAGTATCTAAGGCTGAATGGCAGGATCTCATCAATTCTCACCCTTTAGATCAGTGTCAGTGTCGGTTTCTGTCAACATCTCCCCCCAGTCGAAATAATACTCATATGACACATCTCGCTTTAAAACACAAGAAATGTCCACCCACACTATACAAAAACATGAAAGATTCCAAATATAAACATCAGACTCTCATTGTCAATCTCCTCTGTGATAAAACAGGACTGCGTAAAGAAAGAATGGCGAGTGTGACAGATATACCTAAATTGGAGGCTGTCTTGGGATGTCAAATATTAGTGATCAATGCATCACTAGGAAATAAATTCATCACCAAAGGGATGAAAGATGACAGAAAGCAGTTGTTTCTGTATTTAGTGGATAACCATTTTCATGCTATCCCCAACATTTCTGGCTTTTTCAGCCAAAGTTATTTTTGTCACCATTGTCTCACCCCCTTCCAAAACAAACATGAACACACATGTGACAATTACTGTAGGGTCTGTAAGAGGAAATCGTGTCAGACCAATGACACTGCAAGAATCTGCCCTAATTGTCACATGCAGTGCCGATCTGAAGCATGCTTTGTTGCTCATAAGAAGCCTAAAAAATCCAAGAATGGGAATCTCCCCTCAGAGTGTCAGACCTACTGGCGTTGCCCTGAGTGTTTTAAAGTCCTGAACATTTGGCAAAACAAAGATGGTCAACATGATTGTGACACTTACATGTGCCAACCTTGTGGTAAGAGGGTGCCCATGGATCATAATTGTTATCACGAGCCATTACCTGTGGATGACAAACCCCAAGTCAAGAAATTCATCATGTTTGATTTCGAATGTTCCCAAGATGAGGTGTCTACTTGTGCAGAAGGTTATCTACCGTCCCCTTGTTCCGCATGTGGACCTGAAGAAGAGGATTGTACGCATCACACCATGTGTGACAACTGTCATCAATCTTGGTGTGGGCGTCAGGAACATAAACCTAACTTTGTCATAGCTCAGTCTGTCTGTGACATTTGTAAAAATCACCCATTCTCACCTAATGCCAGATGTGTTTCTTGTGGTGATCGTTGTGATGTATGCAACAAATGGCATAAGAAATTCAATTGTTTCAAGATGCCTCCATGTCCAGACACTTGTGGTCATCGAGAAGTCCAGTTCAAAGGCTCATACACAGCTACATTATTCTGTAAATGGTTTTTCACAAAAGCTCACAAAAACTTTTCGGTGTTTGCCCACAATTTCAAGGGTTATGATGGCTATTTCCTGTTGGACTATCTGATAGAGAATAGTATCCTCCCTGACAACACGCCATTGTCAGATAATACTATGCAGACAACGTCTTGGTTGTAGCGATTTGAACTCTCACCTTGTTGATAGGCATTTACCTGGAAACCCCTCCTGTCCTTGTGGCCATTCCACAGAGGATCCACTACATTATTTTTGGTCTGTCCTCGTTTTAATCACTTGAGACAAAACAGATATTTCTTCGTTAAAGGATTTGATATCAAACTATTCTATAAGCAGGTATTGAGAGTAAAATAACCTAGTAACATCAGTCCACAATTATATTCAAGAAACAAATCGATTCACTAATATATAAAATCTAGCAACGATACTTGACTACTCTATTAAGACTACCGTTATCATCAGTTTAACTCCATGAAACTTCACAACATCAACAATGTGAATGCGCATTTTGTTTCCTTTAATTAATGTGTGACGTCTGTGTGTGTATATTCCGTATTATGTGGAGAGAAGCATTAACATAGGCAATTGTGCCTGTTTGCCAATCCCCAAATCCTATTATATGTAAAAATATACATATACATGTCATCTGAGGAAATAAATATTGTTTAAATCAAAATTACCTTCGCTTTCAAACAAGTCTGGAAGACTTGTGTCTGTGGTCCGAACTTCTAACAAATCAGCTAGATTTCCTTGTTGTTCAAGTATGGATTTACTTGGAAGACTGCACAAATTCTGTCAGTGGATCCAAAGTTCTAGCCAATAAAACAAAGCTTGCTTTGCCGGAAAGTATTAGTGACCGTGCATGTGTGACTGTGAACGCTTTCGACTGCATCGGAATGTGTGTATTGAATCTTGCAAAACTAGTTTGATGTCATATACGTTGATATATTTATAACACGGGTTACTTTGACACAAACGTTTCGATGCACATCAGCTCCTCTACAGCTACCAGTTCACTCGCTGGGCTTCAGATACAAAGGTTGCAATTTCGATCAACGGAAATATACAAACAACACATGACTTGTCATTACATGCACTGGGTTTAAATGGAACATAAATCTCTAGCAAGAGACATTTACATGTGTTTACATGTTACCATATCACATGTTACAACCATACATATATGTCTTTTTTAATAGTGTTGTTACTTTTTGTGGTTTTCCATAGCATTGGGCTAATAGTATAATTTCTCCTCTTCATGCCGTCCCGAATCTCTTCCGGAGATGGATCTGTCGGATGTAGCGGTCTTCGACAGATGTCGTGACTCTAGGTATCTCGATCTTGGGCGGTCTCAGGTCTGGCCTGTTTGCTCTTATCGGTTTATCAGTTTGCTGATGGTGGCGTGGCTGCAGTTGAAGGTTCTTGCTAGCTGACGTTGTGAAGCCCCCATATTGACCACGCCCCCATGCGATAAGCCCCTTTATCGCCCTGTCTCGTCGCGCTTGCGTAAGTCTTGGCATATTCGTGGTGGTTTTGTGGTCAGTAGATGTTTCAACATTATTACATTTTAAGATACACTTTGGAGACATTTTATCGGATCTCGGACAATCATTGTATATACTACTCCGCTTCATGGACGTCCTTCTCGCAGTTGCCAGATGAATATAATACGGTAAAGTTCGACACTACTTGCCGCTTTCCGCATCCTCCAAGAATACTTGTACCCACATCGGTGAATGTTATTTGCGAAAATATACTAGTAGAATAAAGTAATTGGGCATTTTATATGTTACGCCAGAGAAATTTTATTGCCGCTTCATGGACGTCCTCGCAGCTGCCAGATAAGTATAGTAGGTAGAATTCGACCCTACTTGCCGCTTTCCGCATCCTCCAAGAATACTTGTCTCCGCATCGGTGAATGTTATGTGCGAAAATATACTAGTGGAATAAAGTAACTGGGCATTATTTGATGTTATGTCATTTTTAATGCAAAATGATATTAATAACATGACTTGTGGTGTTTTCCTTAATCACTGCTTAACTGCTGACAGGATAATATCAAAATCTGTACGATTTGACTCCAGACCTCGTGACACACCCTTGAAGAGATGTGGTGTCAAAAGTCAGTAAACAAATTCAGTATCGTGTGTGTCCACCATTTTCGTTGATGCAGACTTGACAGCGACGGCACATAGACGACATTAAGTGATTGAAGAAAGCTTGGGGAATGTTGTTCCATGTCTGAAGCAACGCTTGTCCCCGTTCAGCTAACGTCAATGGGTTTGAAATAAACATTCTGGGTTTGACATCGCTCCATTTCATCCCAAGCGTGCTCGATAGGGGACAGGTCCGGAGAAATAGCTGGCCAGGGGAATACAGGAATATTCTGCTGTCGCAGACAATTGTTTCAAATATTAGTCTATAGTTTGCCAGAAACACTGAAAAGTGACATGGCAGGTAAATTTATCTCCATTTTTTATAAAATGGGATAATGATAGCTACGTGTTTTAAAACAATATATTCACATATAACTAATCAACTTTAAAATTATACACTGTGCTCACATTCACTTGACATGGGAATATTTTAGTCTGACGTTAGTGGGGTCCGTCATATTTTCTGAGCGTATTCATTTTAAGTTCCACCAGGGGTACACAGCTTGGTTACATGCAAGGTCAGACAACGGGTAGACACTGCATAATCACTAAATCACAATAGGACTCTATACATATTCTTCAGTTGGAGATATATTTTACAGCCATTTTTACAGCAAGTTTGGATATAAAGGTGAAATAAAATGTTACTTTTTGCGATCTGTAAACACCTATTAATTACGTTACAATATGTTTTCGTCCTCCTGCGAGGAGACGTAAGTCCCAAAACCTTCAAAGTAGATTTCAGCTTACCAAAATTTATAAACGTAGCATTTGTTTGATTTTAATTTATGGCTTACCCTTCCTACAATCGCCGGCGGCAGAAGGGATGGTATAAATCCAACTTGGGTCCATGCAGGTAGCAACGGTACTGCAAGTCCCCATGGTCCCTAGTATGGTGATCTACCTTCGGTTGTCGGTGATCTATAGCCCGTTTTTATATTGTATTGTCCTAATTTGAAATCCAGTTTTAGAGAAAGATACTAGTTTCATTTATTGTGTCTGCGAAATTCTAGTTGGTTTTACTGTCCTCCGTTGACAGGTTTATATGACTTACATGTATTTATGATGAATTCAAAACTTCTTTATAGTCACGATATGGCTGAAATATTGCCGATGTGACTTAAAATCTTAACTCACTCACTCACTCACTACAATATATTTTCAACAAATAATCACCATTACTATTGTTTACATGTTAACATTATTAAAAGCAACAGGTTTAGAGTGCTTAAGTAATGTTTATTGCTGCTGGAATTAAACAGAAAGGGGGTTATCGTTCTTGCTTGAAGTAGTATTCATGTACATACGTCAATATAAACTCCTTCCAGAGGCCACCCGTGAAGTTCCGCATTACAACTGATCTTCAGTAACCCATGCTTGTCGTAAGAGGCGACTAACGGGATCGGGTGGTCAGGCTCGCTCACTCACTTGGTTGACACATGTGAACGTATCCCAATTGCGTAGATCGATGCTAATGATGTTGATCACTGGATTGTCTGGTCCAGATTCAATTATTTACAAACCGCAGCCATATAGCTGGACTTCTCATACGGTTTAACATCAACACAGACCAAACGTGTTAAAGCATGATTTGAAGTCTGCACCATCTACACAATTACCAACTCTTGTATGCTACTGTTTCACATTACACTGATAATGTAACCATGCTGATTTTCCTTGCTGGAATTTGAACTGCGATGTGTGCATCTGGACAACAGCAACATCAAGGGCTTCCAAGTTAAAATACATCACTTCAAATGAGCACATCTCGGCAAAGAATAACCACTGAAACCTCTGTATGAAAGCAAAGTGATACAATATTCACAGAATTGTAATTTACGTAAATTGCGCGAGATTAATGTTATCAAATATTCTATGAGATTGATCATCTGATCTGATCTAAAGAACTAAAAAGGATCACACAACAGTCGCGATTTATCTTCGGGCTATTCAGCATATCCTGCTAGCCAAGGGACGCAACTGTATGTGTTCATATATTGCCTTATCAAGTCGTTGTTCATGCTCCGCTGTTCATACAACTATACCAAAGTGGAATGCTGAATGCTTTTAGGTCTGAAATACACGTCTTTGGTCAGCATATGCGTGATGCAAGGAACTTGCTTCTTTTCGTTCATGGATGCGATGATTCATACCAGACTGCTACTCTCTGATTTACGAAGGTCAGCAGCGTTGTGAGACCAGCACGTTGCATTTCACGGTGTTAGGACCTTGCGCAGGCTCTGCGTAAACCACGCGCCAGTGTCCCTGCGCCATGCATAGTAACCTGAAACGATACGTCAGACATCGTGAGTGAGTGAGTTTAGTCTTACGCCGCACTCAGGAATATTCCAGCTATATGGCGGCGGTCTGTAAATAATCGAGTCTGGAACAGACAATCCAGTGATCAACAGCATGATCTGGGAACCGATGACATGTGTCAACCAAGTCAGCGAGCCTGACCACCCGATCCCTATGTCGCCTCTTACGAGGGTTACTGAAGACGAGGTGTAACCTGGATCTTCACTGGTCCATCCTTAAAGTGAGTAAGGTTGCATGCCGCTTGTTGTAAGTCGGGATACAATAAAGGTAATCAGAAAGAGGCATTAGACGTTGCTTCCATGTGGGAATGAACCCGGGTCTTTTGCGTGACGAGCAAACGCTTTAACTATCCACTAGACTACCCGACAGGACATGTTATCAATATAGAAATGTGTGCGCGCCTGTTGTGCGAATGTCTGTGGGCTTATAAACAATCCAGTGATTGTTACTGTGAGCTACAGTGACGATGGGGCAACCCAGTGGTTAAAGCTTTCGCTCGTCACGCCGACGACCCGGGTTCAATTCCCACATGGGTACAAATGTGAAGCCCATTTCTGTTGTCCCCCGCCGTGATATTGCTGGAATATTTTTCTAAAAGTGGCGAAAAACTAAACTCACTCACTGACTCACTATTGTTAGCTACGACCCATGTCGTCAGCCTTAAATGAATATTGCCTGTGGATGAATGAGCGAGGATGCTTACACGCCGCTTTTAGCAATATTCCAGCAATATCACGGTGAGGGACAAAGAAATTACACAAACCCGACCCTTGGCGTGACGAGCGAAAGCTTTAACCACCAGCCAACCACACCACCCTCAAAAGAATACATAGAGTATCATACGGAAGCGTAGTAGGGCCATGGTGAATTTTGTTTTAGTCTCATGATCTCTTACGTACGACTTAGTATCTCTTACGACTTAGTATCTCTTACGACTTAGTATATCTTACGACTTAATATCTCCTACGTAGTGCTTATTATTTCCTAGGGAGGACGTACTATCTCCTACGTAGGACTGAGTATCTCCTCTTTCAATCACTAATAGACTCTACTGTCATGTGTTCCATTCACTATTAGAATCTACTGCCATGTGTTCCATTCACTAATAGAGTCTACTGTCATGTGTTCCATTCACTATTAGAATCTACTGCCATGTGTTTCATTTACTATTAGAATCTACTGTCATGTGTTCCATTCACTATTAGAATCTACTGCCATGTGTTCCATTCACTAATAGAGTCTACTGTCATGTGTTCCATTCACTAATAGAGTCTACTGTCATGTGTTCCATTCACTATTAGAATCTACTGCCATGTGTTTCATTCACTAATAAAGTCTACTGCCATGTGTTCCATTCACTATTAGAATCTACTGCCATGTGTTTCATTCACTAATAGAGTCTACTGTCATGTGTTCCATTCACTATTAGAATCTACTGCCATGTGTTTCATTCACTATTAGAATCTACTGTCATGTGTTCCATTCACTGATAGAGTCAACTGTTGCATTCACTATTAGAATCTACTGCCATGTGTTTCATTCACTAATAGAGTCTACTGCCATGTGTTTCATTCACTAATAGAGTCTACTGTCATGTGTTCCATTCACTAATAGAATCTACTGGCATGTGTTTCATTCACTAATGGAGTCAACTGTCACGTGTTTCATTTACTAATAGAGTCTACTGTTTCATTCAATATTCGAGTGATGTGTTGAACTAATTGTTGCACATTACTGTCATGTGTTGAACAAATTGTTGACCTTTATTGTTATGTTTTGAACCGACTGTTATACTTTACTGCCTTGCGTTCAATTGGCTCTACTATTACGTGTTGCAGTTAGTTCACTGTTATGTGTTGCACTTTCTGTTACACCTTACTGTTACTGCTTCAGAGGTCGTTGCACGTGGGTCAAAATCTGCGTGCTTACCTCTGACGCACAGACTTGTCTATGTGTGCTTATTCCCACGATTCAGAAGTAGGTCAGTGTAGTAGTTGTGTCGACACAGAAAATGTTTGTGAACAATATTTTTCCTGACAATCCTACAAGATTAAAGACTACGTCCTCCTCTTCTTGGGTATACATATTACAGCTTGTTGAGTTTTCTGGCATTTCACATCATGGGGATTCTGTGTTAGAACTAGACCCCAGTAACCTATGCTTGTGGTTCGGTGGACCAAGTGGATCGGGTCGGTAGGCTATACGACATTATTAATGCGAGTGACATTGATCATGAATCATTATATGGCTTCTGTGTTACAGCGCTTTACAAGTAAGTAAAAACATAATCCTTTGCCTTTTTTATTTCGTATTGTTTAACGCCGCAATCAACACTTTTCCACCTAAGTCACGTCAAACTGTCACGAACAAACAAACCGCAAACAACGAGCCTTGTATCCGATCCAACCTAGCTCCATCCGAAGGACGTGTTTTAACCAGAGTTTCATATCATAACCTCACCCCTCTCTCTCTCTCTCTCTCTCTCTCTCTCTCTCTTCCTCTGTGTATGAATAGATGAATGTATGATAGATCAAACATAACTCATAACTATACCCAAACCTCCATAACTGCAATAAAACAGAACACCTACCACGTAATACACATACACAATAACACTGTATAGTAACACTGCGTTAGTGTCATGTATATTCATTGACTCACATTTCTACCATATACCGTCCTGCATGACTAAACACTTCTCAACTTAATACCCATTCTTCACAAACCGAATCTTAAAAGGAACCTTTTCTGCAATAATTCATTTTGCCACGATTGGCGATAACGACGCATGTCAACGATCGTAATTACGAGTAGTATACCCGATGGTGATACAGCCGCACTACAGCCTGTGGCATGTTTCATGGCCAATAATGCCACACCGATGGCCGAAACATAGAGAAAACGTCGTCGACCATCGTTCGATGTTTCCCATATTTTTATACATTAACATGTGGTACTTATGGATAGACCACATCGGGTTGCAGCGTTGTTGTCGAATATCTCCATTTTGGACGCATTTTCTTTTCCATCAATCGTAAAACGAAGCCATAAAGATTTGATGATACGGTTTCTGCTGCTTGTGTATATCTGAAATTAACAGGTAAATGATCTCGATGGAATAAGTATTTAGAAAGTCTAAAAGTATCCCCCACTCTTTTTCAGCGGGATCCATCCGATGAAACCCTTCAACAAGTTTTTATTATAGGATATTTATATAGCGCACATATCCACGCAACTAGTGCATGCTCAAGGCGCTGGTATTTTTCCTCGATCATTGGATGTCAATCTCAACAGCACATCGTAACTCCTTGGGGAGTATACAACTCTTGCAGCCACTAGGCGCACCGAGTTATTGTGGCTTTCTCATCCTTACGAGGTACCCATTCACAGCTGGGTGGACTGGGACACATAGTCACAGTACTTTGTCCAAGTTTACTGCACGTTGCTGTACCCGCAACTGGGTGTTTGCACGTATTCATGTGGCCACCATCTGGTCATATACCAACGGATTCGTGGGTTCTTTTAAGTGCACAGGGTTGTGTACTGTACACTAGGGGTTGCGACAACACTGAAAGAGTCTGTACACAAAGTTGACTCCAAGGTTTTTACACCCGGTCACAGGTGGGCTCGATCCCGACACCTCAACCTCGCTGGATCACTAGCCTGGCGCCTTAGCCAGCTCGCCCACCGCGCCCCTAGACTAACGTGTATCAACAAAGTTTTCGTCTATCAACCCAATTTGTATGTTTTCAATCTCAATGAGTTGAATTATAATATTCCCCATGTAGTATGCCGTTGCTATGCACATAGATACACGTTAGCTAATTGTGAAATATCGAGGAAACAATTTAGCGTTATTCTCCTATGATTTCTTTGGTTTTGGTAAGGAAAGCTTGACTTGTTGTCTCCCTTGTTCTATGAGCTTTTGTGCTCCTCTTCGCTCATGTCACTTGTCTTACGAGACTTGGTTCTTATCTCTTGTTTCATCCTGTGGTATTTGGCGAGTTGAGACTGCACCAGCCTAAACTCTTCCTCGGATATCTTACTATCGGATAGGGCTGTGGAGATATGATCCTCTATAGTATTTAACTTCACTTCGGCCTAAATGCGAATTTCGTCGTGTTTCAACGCTTTATGTTGCAGCTGGCGAGAAATAAATTTAAGAGCTATTCCCACCAATCCCAAGGCCCCAGCCGCTATTTCAATGCCAAACACGCGGCCACGATGGTGGACAATAACCAACTCCGGCCGCACCTAACCCCATGTTGACTGCTACGAGCACGGTGTCTGCGCTGTCAATTGCTTTCACAGCTCTGCGGTATTTTTGTGCAATCCGATCCCTGTATCACGTTCCATTTCCAGTTGGTGTTTAATGTTGCTGATTTGTAGCAAACAATCCATCCATGGTTTCCAGTCGTCTTTATGACAAGGGAGGTACAACGAGAATGTTGCATTATGACGACATCAGTTGCTCTGTGGTCACGAGGGGCGGTGGGGTAGCCAGTGGTTAAAGCGTTGGCTCGTCACGCCGAAGACCAGGGTTCGAATCCCCACATGGGTACAATGTGTGAAGCCCATTTCTGGTGTCCCCGCCGTGATGTTGCTGGAATATTGCTAAAAAGCGGCGTAAACCAAATTCAGTCAGTCAGTCAGTCTGTGGTCACGAGGGGGGACATGGGTTGATGTACCCTCTATGTTTGGTTACGTTCCCGGAGTCCGAAGGAACATAAACAAACAAAGAGGGTACTCCAACCCATGGGCCCCGAGAGACCAGTGAACAACGTATTTATCTTACCGAACACCTCAATGTTATGAGATCGTAATAAGGAGTACCCGAGTTTAGCGATTAGCCAATACCGACACCGACAGACAGGAAAAACAAATTTAGAGTTATCTCCCTTACATAGGTTTGCATTCACAAAACATTGGTAATTTCCGTACATCATACATGACTCAATTATTCGAGATAAAGAACTACTAACACGAAGTACCAAATGAATTCCCACAGTTCGGCATTCCCAGCAGTTAACATTGGAAATGTTACTCGCTTGTAGGCAGGGTACATTGAAAATAATAGAAAAGCGTTCAGCCAATCAGAAAACGACATTTATGTGTGAGGTAAGATAAGGGATAATATATATCAAAGGAGAGAAGGTCGTCTTTTTAACAAGGAAACATGTGGGACACCAACAGTGCTGTATGTTATATTTTTCCTTTGTACTTATGGGACAATCGGATGACCGAGTACTAAAGATCATGTGCAGCATCGCATTATGACTATAGTGCTTGCAGCGGCTACCACAGCCTAGCTGGCGTCAGACAAGACCCGAACATGTAAGTAGTTGAGTTTATTGATCTTATATTCCTGGAAACAAAATATAGCACACTTGGTACACATTACCCATTTTATTATAACTGTTGTTAAGGGATTTTGAAAACATCAAGCATTTATGCATCCATTGGATCAGCCACACTGTTTAACCTCCTCCTGTAGACATAAACATTTCTCCTCAGCCATGGAAAAGTGCCTTTTCTTGAAATTCCTGGCTCGCCACAATATCTGTATCAAATCCTTTGCTCGAAAGAAGTTTCTGTACATACGCCAAGGGTCTGTTGTTTATGTGTTGAAGACCTACTTGACCAGGTATCGCCCAGCTCAGTACTATGCCTTTCTTTGCGTGACGCACGATGTTGTCAATGAAGACGTCTTCATATTTAGCTGGAATATGTTCTGCCACCTCCAGACTTATGATCCAGTCGTACAGCGGAAGTCCGTACAGGGGAACCGTTAGATCAGCAAACTGAACTACTCCACCGCTTGTTTCCCGCCCATAGGGGGCGCCATCAAAAGCATCGTATGCACGAAGTCGATTGGTCGAGTCCAGAAACTTCTTGTACTCGCCCGGACCATCCCCGAAACTCGCAACGGTTTGGCTTTGAAAGAAAAGTGAAAGTAGGTTTGCCAGAGGTTTGTCAAACGAGTGTTCCCCACCTGTGAATGTACTTGTGTCTTTGCACCACCCGCCAGTAACGGCAACATAACTCTGTTGGAGAGAAATAGACAAAGCTTAAGTTATTGGTACACGAAATATTCATTGACTATCACTTACATTTTCCGACACATTGACGTCTTTAATCCATTATCTGAATGAATGAGTGAGTGAGTTTAGTTTTACGCCGCACTCGGCAATATTCCAGCTATATGAATGAGCGAGTTGGGTGTTTAGACGAGGAATTTCAATGTTATCATTTTGTCTCTGTTTGATGTGGGCTGCAACCCACGGACTGGGGAATGATGCTGATCAACCTGGAAACATTCCGTAAGAACTGGCACTAAACAAAAGACTTTTTAATCCCTCATACGTGTGTTGCTAATGGAAAAACCCATCCTTATCAGTTCATGACACGCATAAGGGCCTGATAAGACATGAAATGACAAATAGAATCGTATCACCCAATCAATACGGACTTGAGGTTCAACATTACTGGGTACCTAGACAACGTAGGTATGTGTTGGACCTCAGTGGACCACTGGGTGTTGGAAATGGTCCGTAAGTGTAGATATGGAAATCTTCAGTATGATGTGTGAACTATGAAAATGTTTGGCACAATCTGTTTAGTAGTAATGCTATTATCCAGGTCATTCAGACCTAGACAGGCTATAGTGATTTCAATTTCAATACAAATACATTTCTTGAAGCTACCCTGTCCTTGATTTAGACTTGCAGTAGACACAGGTAAACGTGTCATCGTAGACATCATTCCACCAAGCATACACAGGGACGTATCCCAGGCACCTCTTGCAAGTCCAAGCTTTAGTCTTAGTGCTGTCCATCTTGACGATATGTCCCACTGTACCATAGAACATTTTTACTTATAATCTAACAATATGTGACCATATTCTAAACATCGACTCATTATTCATAAGACTGAGGTGAGACGGCCCAGCAGTAGAACATGAGCGGCGTTGAATTGTAGCAACCTAAGTATTCCACTCTCTACTGACAACTGTGTCAATTGTACAGTTAGTAACTCAAATCTTTAGTCATAGACTTTACTGGCTACATTAGGAGTACAAGATTGAGGTCTAACACACTAACTTGGGTTTAGCGAGGTCAGGACCTTATCAGGCCACGGCCAGTTCAAAAACAAACAAGTGCTTAGATAAAGATAAAGATGCCTAAGCACAGTTACTCAAACATTTGAACATACATAGACTGGGTTGTCGTCTCTGTATTTTAGGTTATAGTTCTTGTTAATAAAATCACCAATGGTATACTAGGAGAAAATAACGAGATTATCCATTCGGTTACTTAGCAATCAGAGTATGGGTCACTTGATGGGTTTATCTATTTGAGGACCAAAATAGGGTTATTTAAAGTCATATATCAACCGATCATATGATGTATCTTATCAGTTACAGCCTCACATGGCATTCACCTATTTCAGTTGTCGCAGAAACAACTATTCATTTATGGATACTGTTTATTGATCGGGTGATACGATTTTAGTTGGTTATCCTCCCATTGGTCAGACACCCCAATAGTCAGACAGGTTAAAACAACAAACCATCTGGTTGAGTGCACAGCTAATCCGCTGCCTGTTACCTCTTAATGAAATAGGAATGGCCCATAAAATAAATAACAGAACAGAACTTTATTACACTCAGGAAGATATCATCGGCATATGACGTACGGATGACAATAAATGATAATATTACGGAGGAAAAGTAGTTGGCAGGAAGATTTTACAATTTGCAGAATATATACTCTCTCCCAAAAAGAAACGCATATAGGAATTTCAACTGTATTTTTACGTTTATTTTGAAACATCTTGGAGGCTTTATGAGTCAATGTAATATAGCGAAATTGCACATTTAGAATGCAGACTTATCCGTCTTTGGCACCAACTCGATGAAAGTCAGTTTGAGTGTCACATGGAGACGTGTTGTGGTGCTGAAGTCAATACCTCGTGTGGCCACCGTGGGCATCCAGAACTGCACGGGAACGCCTCGGCATCGAACGAAGAAGTCTCAGAATCTCGTGTTGCCCAATCGCAGCCCATTCTGCCTGTAGTGCCTGTGCGAGCTGCTGAAGTGTCTGGGGCTGAGGGTCACGGCGTCGCACCCGTCTGTCCAGGGCATCCCACAGATGTTCGATCGGGTTTAAGTCCGGTGATCTTGAGGGCCAGGGAGCACATTGATGTTGTGGTTCTGGAGGAAGTCTCTAGTGTGACGTGCTGTGTGGGGCCTGGCATTGTCCTGTTGAAACAACTCTCTCTGGCGATCAATGATTGGAATGAGGAGGTGTGGGCGTAGGATTTCGTCACGAAGTACCGTTGAGCTGTCAGGTTGCCCTGGATCATCACCAAATCACTTCTCCTACGGCAGGTGATCGCTCCCCATATCATAACACTGCCACGACCGAATCTGTCCACCTGGGGAACGCAATCGTCGGCGAAACGTTCACGTCGACGTCTATACGCCCGCATTCTTCCATCGCGTCGTTCCAGTAGAAATCGTGATTCATCACTGAACCAGATTCTATGCCAATTCGGTAGGTTCTAGGCCTGAACGTTGGTGCACCATTGTTGTCGAAGCACAGGACTAAAATAAGGTCTTCTGGCACGTAAACCAGCCTCCCTCAACCTGTTCCTAACGGTCTGTGCAGAAAGCCTCCTCAATTCGGGTATTTGTCGAGCGGTACTGGTCGCCGTAGCTGTTCGATGACGCAGGTGATGTACCCGGATGTAGCGATCCTGCACCGCAGTGGTCGCTCGAGGTCGCTCACTACAAGGGGCATCTGCTACCGCATTCTGCCGGCGATATCTCCCCCAGAGCCGTGAAATGGTGCTTTGGTGAACATTCATGCGTCGGGCAACTGCACGTTGAGACTGGCCAGCTTCAAGCAAACCAATGGCGATATGATGGTTGGCTTCACTTAGACGTGGCATTTTGCGTTCGTCAACAATATTCCAAATACAGTGAATAATCGACAGACAGAGATCAACTTTTTATACCTATCATTGAGACTATCTGATCCCCAACTTTCACGTGCATTGCATGTGAATTGTGTATTCTGTGACATTACACGCCGAAATTGAAAATCATGCTGTTAAATACGGGTATTTTACGGATGGTGCGTTTTGTTGTGATATTTCAAAACATAAACACCATAAGACTCATAAACAGAGCAAAACCTTTTGTAAAATGAATCACGTTTTAATTCATAGCTACATGCAATTGCTATTTTCATAATGCGTTTCTTTTTTGGGAGAGTATATTTATGGAATTTACTGCGATTTTTCATTACATATCTTTTTACATGTCAAGGTTGATTTTTTTTTACATATTTGGTCCTTCATAAAGTAAGCTGGTATATTTGATCTTTCTTTTCTTTTCGTGCATTCAAGAATAAAATGATACTCATCACCCACATCATCAATACAACATAATTTACTATTTCTTTCAACTACTGGTATCCTATTCCATTGTCTTGTTTCAAATGGTAATGGTGGCACGAAGTTTTAAAAGAGAATATGTATGACTTTTTGGGGATTATTTTTTTGGGGGGGGGGCGGGATAGGAGACTGTAAAAGCGATACTAACTTAAACCAATGTTATTAGAAATATTCTCTGTACATGAAATCCAGATACAGCTGTGAATAATAGAATATACGTTTGAAGACCAAAACGTTAACATACAAGTTTTAACAGCAACAGAAAGTGGGACTCTACCTAATTCACCATAAATCATATACAATGGGGTACTTTTTTTACGGGTAATAATTTTCTCATCAAACATATATGTTCATTTTCAGTTTGTTTTAAAATAGCATACCCCCAAATTTCACAGCCGTACAACAAGATTAGTTTCATCGTTGAATCAAAGAGATATAGTTGACACTGTATTGATAAGCTTAACATTTGACTTCTGCATAAAACAAAATACATGGCTTTAGTACCTTGTTGGCATAGATTTGATATAGATAATTTGAAAAAAACATTTTCTATCAAAAATAGCTTCAAGATATTTATATATGGGTGTTGCCTTAATGCATCCCTAGTCCAGTGTCTGACAATTGAGATGTCTAACTAATGGGATGTCTGACTAATGGGAGTAAACCTTTTTTTGTCATGTCATGTCATGCCCTTATACGTGTCATGAACTGATAAGGATGGTTAGGTCACCTAGCAACCTAAGTATGGGGTCACGTGAGAGGGATTAGAAACTCATTAATCACACTCATAAAATGAATAGGTCACCTGTCAAAAATATCCTCGAACCTCTTCCTCCAAAACCACATACCCATGATGCAGTCAGAATTGTACAATCGGCTTTGCTTTTAGGAACGATTTCTTATGGCAATGGAGAGTGTTTTACCGCTTGTATTCACTGCACACATGAATAGGCTTCGTAGAGAAACGTTACTGAAACATTTGCAAGAAAGCATATCCTTACCTTATTGGATTTTGTAGTCATTTCAGCCATTTTACAACTCATCATCGCGAGTTCTCTCATCGTATTGTTCAGTATCTCCGACAGCTTATTCCTCTGTTTTCTTAACCGGTCGGCTGCCATGAAACCACCTTGGTCGACTGCCCTGAAACCATCTTGGACTACTGACCGTTCCTTTGCAGCTGGCCCGTAATTGGTCATGTTAGCCATGAGAATCCTAGCGGTGACGAAACCGATGATGGCCAGTACTGAAAGTGCCATCGCTAGTGGGACCAAATGCTTTCGTTGCAACATGGCGGGTTTGTAGCTGGAATGAAACAGACATCGTTAAGGGCCGTTTTCCTCTGGATAATGCAAGTATACATTTTTGTGTCAAGTGCAGCGCCAAAGACAGTAATGTCACAAATATTTGTTGTTGTTGGTTTCTTGTTTAACGCCATATTTAAGCAATATTCCAGCTATATGGTAGCGGTCTGGACAACACAACCAAGTGATCAACAGCATGAGCATCGATCTACGCAATTGGGACATCACGATGACAAGTGACACTGATGACATTGCATGTTGCCTTCAGAGGAGAAGTTTGTATGAACACCCGATCCCTTAAGTTGCCTCTTACGACAAGTATGGGTTCCTGAAGACCAATTCTAACCTGGATCTTCACGGGTCATATAACAAATAACCACAATACAACCCCTCGTACAATACAATGGCGGAAGCCTGTTTCTGGTGTCTACGCCCTGTTATTGCTGGAATGTTGTCAAAAGGATGCGTAAAACCACCCACTCAGTAACCAAGCTTGTCCTGATGTTCTTTTATGGTTTTCAACGTTCGACAGATATTTAAACATATTCAGAAGTCCCTTTTCACTTCTGATTGTGTGAGTGATGTTTAGTCTTTGTTATGCAAGAGGGTGATAATGAAATTGGTGTTCGGCCATTAAACCAAGTGGCGTAGGACCCTGCTGTCCGCCTATCTCATATATAACTCTTAATACTTTCATGCCAGGCAGTTTTGTTTTTTGTTTGACGCCGAAATCAGTAACATTTCAGCTATATGGTAATTATTTGAGCCTGGACCAGACAGATCACCTCAAGAAAATGAGTGCATGACCCGCTGTTAGCAATATTCCAGCAATGTCACGGTGGGGACACCAGAAATTGTACCCACGACACTGAAGAGAGATCTAATCTTCTGTCTCTAAAAGTTCCTTTACCGAGGATCATAGCTGGATCGATGATGGTTAAAAGCATTTCTGGTAAACATTCGTGATCAATTTGTGTTATCGAGTGAGTTTAGTTTTGCGCCACATTCAGCTATATTCCAGCAATATCATGGCGAGAGACACCAGAAAAGGGCTTCACACAGTTTACCAATGTGGGAATCGAACCCGGGTCTTCGGATAGACGAGCGAACGCTTTAACCACCAGGTTACCCCACCGCCCCTCGTGTTACTGGGTGCATTTTCAACGAGGAACGTTTGATGCACGAACACAGAAGATGACCCTTGTAACCTCTTGTGTACCTGTCGTTTTCATAGATCAACAAGCAGGTCATTCAATAGAGGCATACATTTTCATTTTCAAAGGTGTCGACTTATGACTCAACGCTGTCTCAGTCACAAAAATGCCCCAGTCCACCCAGCTGTGAATTGGTACCTCGAAAGGTTGGGAAAGTCACATGCGCCCAGTGGCTGCAAGAGTTTTACATGTATGTCCCCAGGAGTTGAGATTGATAATTTGATGTGCCGCTGAAATTGATATCCAATGATCATGCGGGGAAAACAAAACGCATTCAGCATGCATGTGGGATTGACTATAACGCTATATAAATGCCCATATAATAATAGAATAAGGAAAAGTAAACAACCAAAAATAGTATACACCCATTCTACACCCAGCAGTGGCCAAACATGGGGCAAATTGATATTCGGTGTCAGACGGTATCAGAGCTTTGTTTTGAACCTCAATGTTTTGGTAGCCAACCAACGTTAGTAATGTTTTACCGAATCCGATTTTCTGTATGTAACATTTCTTTGTCCGGTAATGTTTACAATAACTGCGCTGAGCTTCATGTCCCAAAACAATCTGTGACTGGAGAATTCATGGAGAGTCCAAACATGATTTGCGTGTGCGGAATGCCCCAGTTGTCTGAACTTCTGCAGGTATAATCCTTTGATGCTATTAAATGTTAAGTGAATACGCTTCAAATATTAGCATGAAGGACCTCAAGAAACTTCAGACTGAAATATCTTCAGTGAAGTGAAATGTAAACGCAGTGTTTAGGATTAAAATTGATTATTAATATTCATATTACCTTATTTCCTCTAATATGTACCAGGCCTCTAATAAGCGCTGGGTACGTTATTTATAAATGTATTCTCCCTTCATCCAAAATAGATTTAGTAAGGAACGGTCCGGTTTAGTCATAATTTTTCTGTTCTCCGCATGGCACGGTTTGATGGATATTATGTAATAAGTGCTGGGTCTCCAAATGAGCGCCGGGGCA